CCCTTATCTTGGGGTGATCCTCAGTAAATCTCTTACATGGAACCCCACACGTTACACATATTCTCAGGAAGTTTCGAGCTAGTAAAGCTTCACTCTTCCCCTTAATTGCTCGAAACAGTGTTCTATCTATTGATAATAAGTTGCTCATTTACAAAATCATGTTGCGTCCAATTCTTAGTTATGCATGCCCCGTCTGGGCATGCTCATGCAAAAGTTTGAGAAAGCAGTTACAAGCTGCCCAAAACGGGGTACTGCGTATGATATGTAATGACCCCTGGTACATTCGGAATAGCCAAATTCGTAAAGAGTTAAGAATAGAGGATCTTTGTGATTTTTATTGCCGCCTATCTAGGGCATTTTATGATAAACAGGAACTTCTGGACAATCCTGTGGTTGTTAACTATTGTTATGATATTAGAGACCCCAATTTCAGTAAACGTCCAAGGGCAATCCTAAATGTTAGTAATATGTAATTTTCTATATGTGTTATGCAAATTGTTGCTCAGATTCTTTATTGTATATTGTTCTTTTTTCCTCCTGATTGCATTTTGTTTTTACTAGTGGCACTATGGCGTCGCACTTCGTATTTTGTTTCTCTTGTGTGTACATGTATTCTTCTGTGAAATAGTTGTTAAAAAAATAGTTAATTATGTATGGATTAGTAATTAGGTACTTAAGAAAAAAAATATGTATTTAACTATTAGCACTTATGTATTTAAACTCTTACTCATTTAATTATTTAGCACATTCAGTTATATTTCTCATAATTTGAAACTTTTATGATGTTATTCGATGAGGGGTAGGGCTATGGCGCGCAGGCACCCTGGTGGTTAAGCACCGCAGTTCAATGCATTGCATAGTTAAGTTTTGATATACCAGTTAAAATCAAGTTAATTAAACTTTCAATTTTTTCTTTCTTTAAATTTAACTTCTTTAAGGAATTTTTTTTAAAGTTTTTTTTAAGGACTTCGTTCACAAAATTTTGGGAAATTTGACATTTTAAATTTTGCTTTAAAACTTAAATTCTAAAACATTTCATTTTTACTTAATTACTTTAATTATTTGCCTTGCAATATTTACACAATTTTTCAACAGAACTCACATTTCACATTACAAACAGTTACATTTATTAATTCACAATACCACTTAACTCTATTTTATTCAAGCAAAACTTACCTCTCTTGATTGGCTTAAACTCCCTAAATAATTATCGTTAAAATTAAAACTTGAATTACATACCTTTAGGATTTTAATTTTATATTTTAATTTAATTTTTTCTAGATTTTTTTTTATTATATTTTAATATTAATGTTTGTAAAAAATTTTAATATACCAAAGATAACAGCTTGCCACTCAACTTTACCTACATAAGCGCCATCTATATAATTAATTTGAAGAACACACTACTTACTCTCTTTAAAAACACTTTTGGCAGACCCCAATGCTCATTAAGTAGGTAAGTAAAAATTAAAACTACTATTTACTTGCTTTAAGTATTTTTTTAAATTTTTTACGTTGTATTTACGTTTTTTCTAGATATGAAATTATATTTTTAAGTATATATTTGTTTTTAAAAATTGTGAATTAGTTCTTTTATGTTTCTTATTGGTTTATATGGATTATGTCTAGTTCTTTTTAGTTTCTTTTTATTGTTATGCATATTGTGTCGGGGAGGTGGAGGTTCTGAAGATAAGGGTTTCTAAAATACTATTAGTATCTAGATTATTTTTTTATAAAAAATTAATTTTTTTAAAATTTAATTTAAAAAAAAGTTTAATTTAATACTTGACTTTACTTGCTTGTTTCTCAAAAAGACTTCATTAGTATTTTCCTTTAAAACTTTAATTCTTAAATGCTAATTTCTAAGGGTACCACTTTATTGGTATTTCTTTTTTGGACATTCTTCACTTTTTAATTTGGTTTTTTTGACTTTTACCCTTGCCTGCATGAATGACGAAACACGAATTGAATGATTGGAGAGTTAGGTTTGGAGGCAACTTCCCCTTGATAAGTCTGCCTCCTGCCTGCTCAACAGTCATTCACTTATGCATTTTTAAAAAAATTGTTTGGATTATTTTAATTTGCTAAATTAGTGAATTTATTTTCATATATTGGTTATGCACTTGATTTGCTTATGCTTCTGAATTTAAATGATATTGTAGATTAGTTCGAGAATTAAATCTTTTATATGTTTACACAGTTTTTTAAATATTTTGTTTTTTATTTTATTTTTGTGGCTTTATTTAATTTTATTATAATTATATTTTGTGGCTTTATTTAATTTGCTTTATTTAATTTTGGCTTTAAATTTGCTTTTTTACTTTTATATGTGTTTGTTAAAATTTAAATTTAATTTGTTTAAATTTAAATAACACTGGATATATACGAGTGAAATTTATACCCAGGCAGTGTACATTTTGTAGTACAAGGAAGAAACCTCATAGAAGAAGATACATGTGCGAAATGTGCAATGTGGGTCCATGCATGTAACAAAAGACAAAACATGCTTTGAACAGTGTCACAAAAAAAAAAAAAAAAAAAAAAAAAAAAACTGAATCTTTTTTTTTATCCTTATTTTACTGAGTTTCTTTTATCCATTTAGCAAAACGTTCTTATGTAGGTACTTATATTTTCACTGCTATAGAAAAATTACATAAATGCTTATTTTTTAATTTTTTCTGACGATTTACTCTGTAAAATAATGTAAAAAAATTATATATAATGCAATTCTTACATAATTTTTTTTTTTAAATTCGTAAATTTTGTCATTTATTGGAAACGCGCACGGAGAAAGGTAAGTTTTTTTTTTTTCCTACTACCTCAGTAAGTTTCAAAGTTCTAGACGTGCGGTGGTTTCACTGTGTGACCACCACCCACAGAACAATGGACAAGAGTGGATTTTTTTAAATTCATATATTATTTGTCTCTAGGATCATAATATTCAATTTCTAGAGTTTTTTCTTCAGTTTAAAAAATTATAAAAATAATATTATGCATGTCAAAGGGTTAATACTCCCCATAAGCATTTTCTCACTTGCTAAAAAATGTCTGTGCTAATGACCTGCTACTGAAATTCATCTATGAGCTACACCTATTACACATTTGAGGAAGGATAGTGATAAATTACAGTAAAAAGGCATTATAAAAAGTAGATTTTATGCCAAGATAACTAGTTTGCAGAATAATTTATTACACATGCCCAAGTGCAATTAAAAAAACTCATTACAACTGACTGTGATTTTTCAGAAATAAAGTTAGTTAACAGTATTTCAACTCTTGCACTAATCACTATAGAAGTTGATTCTCAACTGAATAAACTGGCACAATGGGCATTTCCTCATTTTCCTGGCATGTTACATAAATGTAAGCCAGTTTCTCTTGAAAATTCCTTTAATGAAGGCATCTTAGTACTTCCTTGTTAAAATCAAATATCACTTAAGATTTATGTGAACAAAGAAGTACAAATATCTCTTCTAAAGTAAACAGCCAATGTGTATTTTGCCATTATTGGTAAAAGTATAGTCTAGGGTACCCCTTGGCGAAACTTGGCGATTTTTGGTGGTACATGGATACCCATTTTGTGCGATTCTTTGACTCGTTATTTTGGCTTGCGAAGCGGCAATTTTTGCGCCTAAAATCACCGTTACACAAAGCCAAAATAACAATTCAAACAATTGCACAAACTCGGTTCCATGTACAAATCGACTTATTTTCACTTAAAAAAAAATCTCGAATTGCACAAAAATGGCATTTCGCGCTCTTTTAACTTTATCCATATACACTTCGACCTATTTTCACTTAAAAAAAATTCCCAGAATTGCACAAACTTGCATTGCGCACTCCCTTCACTTTGTCCATGTACACATCGATATATTTTCACTTAAAAAAATTAAAGAAGCATCCAATTCTACAATACAGGCAAACAAAAAATACATAATCTCAATAAACTACATTTTAAACCAAGCAATAAAATAAGATAAAAAAGGAAAAACATGTTATACATTTAAGCACTACCAAAAGCAAATATTCACTTACCATGATTTTTGAGTTCGCTTCGCACACCCAGAGCCTCGTAAAAATCAAAATATCAGTCATGCTCAAATGACTTTTTCAAACCAGGTACTCTTTCTGATCGAATGCTTCACATAGTGACCATCTGAACCTTTCTTCCTAGAAACCCATTCAAATCCATCTAAACGGTTTTTACGTTCGACTAGACGCATATCCTTCCTACATACAGTACACTTATAATGGCTACTAAGTAAACCTTCATTTATACACCAGTCAATTAAAGCTCTTTCCCCTTTCATTCCAGATCGTACAGAAACTTCAAATTAATCTTACTACATTCAACCATTCTACCGTCTAAAGAATCAAACCAACACACACCACAAAAACGCTTACAAAACAGCCCATGATTCAAAATTTCCCAGAATCATGCACCCGATTACGTCACAATAGAGTTTCCATACCATTCAACTACTCAGGCTACCATAAATGAAACAACAACTTGGCGATAAATCAAACAACAACTTTGCCATAATACAAGGGGTATCTTAGAGTCTACTCTATCCCCATTACAAATATCTAACCTAATTGCTCTGAAATGCAAAAGATAGTCAATTAATTTAGAAATGAAAATTTAGAAATAGATTGCACACTTGACCATGAAATCATACACAGGCATATAAAAATGACTTTTAAACTCATTCTGATGTTATAGCTTTACATTAAGTTAACTATGGTTGATGAACTTTTCAAAATGATACAAACTGAATTAAACCAAAAATTACATAACTAAAAGTTTAAAATGTTAAAAACAAATTTCAAATATTTAAAATTTAATAAATGGCAAAAGTTTGCAATGAGATCATTACCATTTTATATACTTTATATTAAATCAAAATTGTTTATTCTTAAATTGGTGATTAGGCAGGGCAACTTATATTTCACTGAAAAAAATGCACTTATATGTATAATGAATTCTTGTTATATCTTACCTTCGCTTCTTCACAATATGCTCGCATCATCTCAAAAGTCCTGAAATAATGAATAAGTAAATAAAACACAGGTCACACAGGCAGTTAAAAATTAAATATTTTTGATAAAAATTTTTTATTTCTACCAAAGAAAAGGAAATTTTAAATAATAAAAAATATAAATATTAATATATAAAATTTTGCCCCGTACTTCAGCCCATTAAGAGAGAGTTCAATTGTAGTTGAACATGCTGTGACCTCCCCTTGCCTGACATGGGGGCTCTCAGAAGGAAGCAGTGGCCTTTGCAGGAAAGGCATTCAAAATTTGATTGATTCTCCTAAAGCAAACACTGAAAGGTTTATTTATTTATTTATTTTTAATAAAAAATATTCAGTGCACTCAAAAGCAAACTAATGTGAGAACAATGAAAACTCTAATACCTACAAAGTACAATTAAAGAAGTTATAAGGTATTTCTCCCGCCTTCTTAGCGAGCCTTCATGGTGTAGTGGTCAGCACACTCAGCGTGTAATTGGGAAGTCCAGGGTTAGATTGCCGGCGAAGGCGCTGCTAATTTTTCATCTTGTCTGCTTCCAAAATATACCTAATGTATCTACAATGGCACCTGAACTATAAGTCTCCACACCCAGGATTTGGCGAGTGATTTCCCTAAAAAACCCTAGTCACTCTTTAGAAGGGGGAGTATATAAGGCATTTCTCTCACCTTCTTAGTGAGCCTTCGTGGTATAGTAATCAGCACACTCAGCATGTAATTGAGAGGTCCAGTGTTTTATTAGCGGCCAAGGCATTGCTAATTTTTCATCTTGCCTGCTTCCAAAAAATACTTTTCCACTTGTTAAACTGGTCAAAAGACTTAACCCTCCAGGCGGCAAGGCCGTATATATGCGTTCGAAAATAATGGCTCTCATAGCGGCAAGGCAGCATATATGCGTCCAAATATTTTGGTCCTCATGGCGGCAAGGCAGCATATATACGTAAACTTAAATTTTGGCACGAAACGGCAAAGCAGCATATATACGGCCTGTCTCAGAGTGCCCTCCCCTCTCTGCTCTTAATGTAAACTGACAGGTGATAATTTTTCTCTGCGGGAGGTAATTGAGGAGAGGAAACTATCTATTCGCTAGGGGCAAATGGGTTTTATCGTTAGGTTTTGAATAACAGCTCGGAATAAATAGCTCGTTCAAAACTTCCAGCTGTTCTGTGCTTATACCAGCTATAGTAAACTTAAATGTTTATGTTCGTAAAGAGAATTTTCATTTTCCAGCCTAATTATTCTCCAAATTTTAGATGCAGTTTGGCAAAATGTAATTGGAATTAAAATTAAAATTGCAAGAAACTGCAACAATATTTTGAAATATGTGATTTCAATTATATTGCAATTGTAATTAGCTTCGCAATTACAATTAGAAAGTAAGTACTTTTTAAATGCAACAATAATGTATGTAATTGCATTTTAATTCTTAAGTCTTACAATTACAATGCAATGATAATCACAAACATTATAATTATATAATCTAATTACAATTACAAATTTTATTGCATCTAATCACAACTACGGTAATATTAGCTAATTACAACGTAATTTTAACTGCAATTGCAGTAGGTAATTATAACTACGTAATTAGGAAAGTAATTGTCTCTGATAATTAGAATTACTTAACATAGTGAAATTATGATCATAATTGTAATTCTAAGTGTAGTATGCAATTGTAATAAAATTATGCAATTACTAAGTAGTTATAGTTAAAAAGTAGCTGTTTTTTTAATTACAATTACAATTTACGTAATTTCATTTAAATTACAATTACTCTATATTTGTGAAATCCAATTTCATATTCAATGCAACTGCAATCATATAATCTAATTACAATTACACTGTCATTGTAACTCCAGTAAGTAATTATAATAATGTAATTAGGATAGCAATTGTTTCTGATAAAAGCAGTTACGTAGCCCAGGAAAATCATGATCTTAATTGCAAATGTAATTGCAGAATGCAATTGAAAACACAATTAAGATCATGATTAATTATAGTAATTGGAATAATATTATGCAATTATCTTGTAATTACAATGTAACAATTTTTAATTACATATACAATTTACTCAAATGCATTTTAATTATAATTGCATTTTAATTGTGAAATCTAATTGAATAAACAGTATAACTGTAATTATATAATCTAATAAAAATTACAATGCAATTGTAATGACCTCTTAATTAAAATTGCGCAGCAGATGATTGTAACTATTTAATCAGAAAAACAACTGCCCCTTATAATTTCAGTGACATAGGCTAAGGAAATCGTGATAATATTTGAAAATTACAGTCAATAATATTATATTCGAAATGTTTCTGCATTTTGGATAATGAGTTTTTAAATAATACAACGGGATAATCACCTATAAGAAAAATATTAATATTTTCTGTCATGTCTTCTGAATCATCTTACATATATTGTAGTTTGTGGTACCAGCATAAATAGGAGTTTATTTAAAGGAAATATTTTATATAGACCGAAATGCACATAACGTTAGTAAGCAAATATGTATGTTTATGATCTTCGATATACATGTGAACTTAAATTACAAGATTAAGGGAAAGCAAGCAAAGAGTTTATGCCAGTGCAAAGGGATGTTTTCGCAAAGGATTTGTTACGGGACGCTTGTCTTGTTTACATTACACAAGAAATAAATCATAAAAATTACATTTATCCTTTTCTTTTCAGAAAGGAGATCATCAAGGACTAAACTAAGTCTCATAATTTTATCCAACCTATTGCTTTAGCTGGTAAAAAAAGGATTCTGATCAGCAATCAGTATGCTTAATTGCTGTGTGTATTAGACATTTTACTAAATCCATTTATTATGAATTACCGCCCAGACAGTAAAGCGGTTCGTGACTCTGGTTGCCGTACCGAAGAGCCTGGGTTCGAATCCCGGATAGGGCATGAATGTAATTTGTTCGTCCTCTTCATAGGTGGCAACGGTGGCCCACGTATTAGTTCCCTCCTTAATAACATGACCGGCCTTAGTAGTGATCAATGTCTATAAACGGCTACTACCTGCCATTGGAAAAAAAAAAATTACGAATTGGTCTTTTATTCAACATAACACACATTTTCCATAAATAGTTAAAATGCATTATTCAGTTACAAGTGAAAGTACTTGCATGAACTATTTTCCATCATTGTTTCACGTAAGAACAAATAAAAGTACAATTTTCTTATGCACCTGTGATTGTCATATTATTTGGATTACGGTAAAGACTGCAAAGATGCTTCTGTGGAGGACTTTCTAAGGGAAACTGGCTCATGTTCACATCACCCGTTAATAAAAGCAGGAAAAGATCTTTATTTAATTGAATGCAACGAAACGTTTAAGAAGAATGATGTACTCATAGAGAACTTTCTAAAATAAAATGATTTGTATTCATGTTACACATAAGGAAATCCACGGAGCTATCTAAACATTTAGATTGTTTGCCAAAATGGGCATCCGATTTGAACTAGTAGTATTCAAAAGACGACTTATTACTCTGCTGAGCGAAAAATCTAATTGCTTTTGAAGTTATATTGTAATTCGAACAATCATTGTATTACAAATTATTATTATTATTTTTTCCCCAATGGCAGATTGGGAACAGTTACAGTGCAACACAGTCCATTAGTCTATACAAGGCCAGAAGTTGCAGTCACTTTATTATGGAGGCATCTAATATGTGGGCCACCTATCGCCTCCTATGAAAGGACGAACAGTTAAAGCCATGCCTTCTCCGGGATTCGAACCCAGGCCCTTCGGTATCGCAGTCAGGCTTCCCTAACCACTATACCATCTGGGCGGCACAATTACAATTATAACTGCATTAGTTGTAGTTTTTAACTACAATGAATTACCAGCTTTTCTCAGTCAATAACAGATAGCTTAAACTTTAAAGATAAATGGAAGGTCTTATAATTTGTCGAATGGCAATATTCTAAGAAAGTGTAGTCTCCAGGATGGTCGAAGTTTAATTACAGTCTTACATTTCGCATACTCGCAGCACTTGCCCAAAGGCTGTTCCAAGATTATTTCTGTTCACCTCATCCATTAATTTTGGAGACAGAATCATGTCTAGAGACATTTTTTTCTGAGGACAGTATTTTATATAATAGAAAAAAAAAAATAATAATAATGCGTCTCCCTCAAGGTGCAGGAAACAACGAGTACTGATAAATTTAATTGAAATTACAATTATAATTCTAGTTAATACAAATACAATGTTACTTTAACGGTTAGAATTACATTATAGTTCTAATGGCAAAAATATCAAATGAGTGTTATAGATTAGTATACTTTTACTTATCACAATATTAAACTTTTAATACCGTTTTATTTTATTTAGCTTATCACAATATTGAGCTTTTTAATACCGTCGGTACTGAAAAAATGTTTTACTACTGTCATGAAATGTATATTCGATAATAGTTTCTCATTGATGTTTTTCTTATATATTTTTCTGCATAATTCATAAATGTTTGCAATGGAAATAATTCTGAGGCTTTTATAATACTTCTAAATTTTCATGAAATAAAGTTCCATTAAGGTTTACTTGAAGGAGACTCTCAGTGCAAGCACTCGAAAAGAAGTTATGCTACATTTACATATTATGAAATGGTTGAATGTACAGTATTTACTTGTAACAGCGGTGCTCAATATATCGCGTTTTCTGAAAGAATGCATATGTTGCCTAAAATCGAATTTAAATCACTATAATCAGAATAATTGGCTAAAGTATTAAATTGTAATTTTTACAGCATCAATCGAATTAGTGGATTTTATTGAAGATAAAAATGTGTTGATATATTGACAAGCTATATTAGTTTTTGTACTATAATGAATGCTAGCTAGTAGCTATATGAATATAATGAATGTACTATAATGAATGCTACCTAGTAGCTACTCTAGCTAATAGCTAGAGTAAAACTCAGGATATGGTAACATTAAATAAATAAATAAATAAAATTTAAAAAAAAAAAAGAAGAAGAAGCAGAAAACGAAA